AGTGTGTATATACGACTATTATGAGACACAATGTTTGCCCAACATCAACGCTACATCCGCTGTACCATTGTGTGTCAAAGCGGCCTTGAACTCCTGAATGGGCTGGAGTGAAATTAAAAAAAAGTCTCCTTCTACAACTATGATCACTGTAATGATGGACAAAGTAACGTACACTAACTACACAACTTGAGCAACACTTAACCTAAAGTTATGGTCATACTTACCACTTCTTCTCCAACATTCCATTTTCAATTTCAGGCATTAGCCTAGTTCTATAGTGACACTACAAGGGGCTATGTGAAACAAATGGCCACTCAAATCCAAATTAATTATTCAACAGCAGTGGGAAAACGGTAATTCTGAGACAACTCTTATTACGCGTTATCCTTGGGTAACATACAGACCCGCCCAGAGCTTTGATTCCTAATTGACATTTATCCTTTAAGTTGAATTAACTACAAAATGTATCACCGACATGGTGATGATAAAATAAAACCTGCCACTGATCGGCCCGGCCAATTGTCTAAAGAAGGATGTTAATGTACAAGATTTAGGCCCATTAAACCGTATCCAACTACCTGTTTATTCACCTCCGTGTTGTCATTGACCATCAAGCAAAACACAAAAGGCCGAGGCCAGTTTGGCCCCCGAATGTTCAGCGAAAGCTGCAGTGTGTTAGCGTGCATGGTGAGCGAGGTGCCCACCACCTTTCCCCCTGCCCTTTAATTCATTTCTAAGTTAAAGCCTGTGTATCATTATTCGCTTGAGCTCCACTCGCCCCGACACCGCCAGAGTACCCAAACCCCATCGACTTGAGGGGGGCGAGGGGGGGGGGGTGGCGTAGTGCTGCTGGTGAGGAACGGGATTCTTGGCTGAAATTCCTCACAAATGTTATGCCAAGAGCGAAATGGAAACCGCCTCTAATTTTTCCTCTCCCCTTAATCCAATGTTTTTCAAGCCCCGGCCCCACCAAGGTCGTTATAATCATAGCGAGTGGAAGGGAGCCAGTGACCCGCCATTACAGCAAGGTACACAGCCACCCAGTCAGGAGGAGCCCACATCTGTCTAGAAATGTTAAACATCCCCTCCATCTGAAATCTAGAATACCCGGGGGGACGGGAGGGATAAGTAAGCAGGATACAAATCCGCCCCCCCAATACACCTGGGGTCATGCTCTTTATCATAGTGACTCCCTCTAAGTCAATGTTTTTTACACTTTTCATTCTCAACAATATACTTCTACAGACTTCTGTGGTTGAGAAATGGGTGAATGTTTGATCTACTGACAATCTTTAATCCGGACTAATTCCATGTCTTATCGTAGCATCGCAGTCATAAACACCAAACGGTAAACAAGCCTTTTCAGTAACCCTAACTTTAAAGGGAGTAACACAGCAATAAAGAAATTACACAAACAATAACACGCTGCAAGGTCATAAAGAATGGCAGTTTTCATTGTGGCACCACAGGTCATGTTTACTTGTCAGAGTGAAGGCGCCATACTGTACTGTGACCTCCATAACTGGCTTATGTACCCACACACACACACACACACACACACACACACACACCAAAACATACCGCTCCATTTCGCATGTGCGTGGCGTGCACACACACACACACACACACACACTTAAGGACTAGTCTCTTCTCACAAGCTGTGCCACACACAATAGCACAGTGTGCACACACACTGGGCTACACAAACCATATATCTGGGTCTGTGCTAAGATAAAGCACCTCCAGCATTAAAGCCAGTGTATTAGCTTGCCCTTTTTCCACCACAGATGAAGAGATTTGAGGCCCGATATTGTGCTCGTTGGCTGGCACGCCACCATGGTGTTGTTGGCTGAATAATGAAAACACACAGACTGACAGCAAATGGCACGAGGTGACGCTTCCATTCTGGAGTGGGAAGATCCGAAACAAAGCGCAAAAAGCTTTTGACAAATTCATACTTTCCTGTGACAGTTTGTGGACTGAGGAGGAAAACAACTCCTAAATCAGAAAAAAGAGGCTTTCATTCCAGCCCAGGAGCACAGGCTGAGCAGTGCTTCAGAACAGTGCCTCCACAGGAGTACGAGATTTCAGATGCGTATTTTCGCTCCAGGCCAATTACAAAGCAGATTAATTGAAAAGGCTCGACATGGGCTACCTTTGGTGTTCTTGCATAAAAGACATAAAACGTTGGACTTCATGTCTGACCAATCAAGACAGTATGATGAGGACGCGATGTTAATAAAACTTCAATAAACGCAACCTCTCGCTATTTTTCTAAAGTGCTAAAAACTCATTAGAAGAATAAACTCCAGGGTTCAGTTCAGAGTTGAAAAACAACTGCCAATTTTTTCGGTTATAAAATATCACATTGTCTCATATAGACGATCATTTCAATTTTGTTGTACCGAATCACATCAAATAAACATGAGTAAACATCTGTCCCTGTTAACACAGGGCTTGACAGCAATGGTTGCCAGGTTGCCGTTGGCAACCAATTCTTGGCCTTTGTTTGCCAACCACTTTTTGACATATAGAAAATAGAGATAGCAAACAGCAAGGCGTGCAGGCCCGTCTCTTCCGCTTCATGTGAGAGGGGATTCAGCTGTCTAAGCAGAACAAAGACCGAGCGGAGGTCATCTCTGGAAGTTGAGATGATGGACGAGCAGATCTCTGTGAAGAACCTGACAAAAGCTGCACAACCGGAATTTTGCATTCCAGGAGATGCGAGTGGACAGTTGCACGATAACCCCAGCCATTCACATTCTGTACAGAAGGTGATAAAACACGATTATAATATTATTGTTGCATTTTCATTATCAATGAACAAAACATGCAGGCGACAAAAATGTCTATTTTCAGTTTCTGCCAACAAATGCCACTTTTGAGAGTTAGTATTGAGCCCTGTGACACAATAACTCCCTCCAACTCTTTCTTTTTAATTTGGAAGAGAAATGTACAGCTTATCAAAGAATATGTGAGCCATATTGTACACTGCATTATATCCTACGTGTAATCATAAACAAGAGTATGAATGTCACTAACAAAGAAGCAGATTCAGGCACTGACAACTGCATGTATTTCATGATTATGCCGCACTCTTAATGCAGTTCATAAGGCACAGATTTTGGTAACTGATGAGGAAAATATATTCAAGAGACACGTTTTTGTAAATGGTGATTGTCTTCTGCGGTGTTTACAGGGGCAGTAACAGTTCCTCCACATAGCTTACATTCTCCTTAAGCCACATATCACCCTTTGAATCTTCCTGTCACTCAGTCACACACAGACACACACACACCTCAAAGCCAACCCCAAGTTCAAGCCTAGGTCAAACACCTGAGCAGCAGATCAGTGAGTTTCACTACAAAAAAACAAAGCAGCGAACATCTACTGTGTGAAACTACGGGATAATAACTCCATAATGTACATCGGATTTCACTGTGCCAGACATATTGAACTGTGACAGGTGCAGCAGGAGCTCATTCATTACTAAAAGCCTTTTTGGAAATGAAACAAAAGCGCTGTGACAAAACTGAGTGAGAGATACAACTTGGAGCCTTTTTTTCCCTTCTTTTTTTAGGGTGGCAGGTTGCGATGAACAGCTGGCATCCTCTGACATTTAAGCTACCAAGAAGATAGTGTCACAAGATAAATGCATCAATCCGCTGTTGATTTAACAAAAGATGAATCACCCGCTTATTCATTTAGTATGCAAATGCGTACCGAATGTGACTAATTGAGCCGTTTGCTTGCGCGTGGATCGAGCAGGGATGATCAAGAAGCAGGCAATGTCTCTTTCGGATCATTCCTTTAATAATCGTTATCATTCCCCACTGCCCGTCTGAACGATCCCCTAGTGGCCGCTGCGCGACATCGCAGCTTCGTTTTTTTTCTCCATTATGTGGACTGATAAAAGCACAATATGAACATCCGAGATATGGAGGTAGGTGTGGGGCGGGGGGGGGGTCAAATGTACAAAAAGTAAACCATCCGCCTACCAAAGATCTAACGTTACTACACGGGATTCGCGAACTGTTTCCTGATGCGACGCGGCGCGCAGTTACGTAGGAGAAGCTTTAACTGTCGTTTCCCCTTTTTTTTTTTGTAACTGCGTTATTGATCGTAGTCTGTCTGCAATGAATGGCTGCGAAGAGAAGGGGAACGGAGGGAGGGGGGAAAACCCTGAACTTCAGGTGACCGGCCATGGCTCTGACATGCAGACTGGGAGGGGTAGAACAAATATATATATATATATTATATATATACATGTATAATATACGTGTTATATGTATCGGCTTGAGGTGGTTGGGGGAGTGGGGGAGAGAGAGAGAGAGAGAGAGAGGGAGGGAAAAAAATCCCTCCTGACTTTTTTTAAAGTCGACGACAAACAAGCGCGAACAAATTCGGGTTCCGCGATGAAAAACTGTGAGGCAAAAGTTACACGTTTAAACGTCCGAGGAAATGGGAAGTTTTAGCGAGCGGTTGCTAGATAGCGCTGTTGCTAACTGGGAACACCAGGGAACGGGGAGCCAGACTCTGGCTCGTCTGATCCGACTGACCCTTCATTTTATTGCGGCCAGACTCCCAGATCCTCCCCTTTCTACCCGAAAAGCGACATGGCAGTGGCGAACACATTAGCGAAAACGCTCGGCCGTTACGGCTCGCTCGCAGACACACACACACACACACCGACACACACAACCGACACACACACACACGCCAACTGCCCGCAACCTTTAGCGGAACCGGAGCTCTATCGATTATACTCTTAATAAAAAGCCACGTATCGTTTATCCACTCACTGCCTAGCTACCGTTACCCATCGCCAACAACATGGCTGCCTCGCTCGGACCTAAAAAAAAAAAAAAGAAAAAGGGGGAGAAATAACCTACGCCGAGTCTTTTGTCTGTTTCACCTCTTTAACCCTAAACTACTGCGCAAAACATACGGCGAGCCGTTACAAAAGAAAAAAATCGAACAAACGGGAGAGAAGGACTTACGTGAAGGCAGGCGCTTGGGTTGCTCCTGCTTCCTCCTTGGCATTTTCCCCCGTTTTTAATCACATTCTCGTCCTTGTTTAGGGATAAGAAGAAAAAAGGTTTTTCCCATTGAGACCGGAGGCGCCAGTGATGGCGGGGACTCGGTCGTGCACCTGGCTCCGCTCGGCTCAAAGTGTACGGTCGGGGAACGGGAGCCACGGGGCGGAGGAGGCGCCGCTGTTGTTGTTGCCGTGTCTTGACTATGGCTGCTCTCGGTGCAAGTGTGTCTCCGAGCCCCTAACTAACACTAATGCAGGGATCAAAGGGCAGCAACAGCAGAGCAGCCACACGCACGCGCGCGGGCGCGCGCGCACGCACGCCTACAAACACGCGGTCCCTCGCTCGCGCGTACGCACGCACGCACGCACACACCCACACTCGCGCGCACCCACACGGGAACACGCTCTTTGCGCGCACGGACACAGTCGAGGTGCTCGCCCCCGAGAGCAGCGGACGGACAAGGTGCCCCCGAGCTTCCAGGGTGTAATGCTAAAAAGAAAATGCATTTTGAAAAAATAAATAATAAAACAAAAGAAGCAAAGAGGGGTTTAAATAAGCGCAGCCGGCCACACTGATCGATTGGAATAAACGAAATGGGTTTAATTCACTTAAAAAAATGTAAGCGTGTATTACATAGTGTATTACATATATATATATATATATATATATATATATATATATATATATATATATATATATATATATATATATATGTATATGTAATGGCGAGTGAGGATAATAATGTATCCAATAATGCAAGTGAAATATGAATATGAATGTACAGATTTAGACATTATAAATACATAACACAGAAATGTATTCATAGTGTTTGGCTTGCTTTAGCAAAACAGATGAACCGCTATAACAAAAACCTGTATCTTAATTATAGATAAGAATCCAAATAGCAGCAAGGTAAAGAATAGATGCTGAAAATGAATTTGTGTGGGCCGATATTAACTGACAGCATTAGATATATGCATATTATTATTTGGCTACATATATTTATTTGGCTATATCAGTGCTATTATACTAAATCTGCAGTATGTATATATATAAAGAGGAAGAAATTTCAAGCCTTTCCATATTTATATCCTCTTCTCCCCTGAAAAGTTTATAATAGGTTTCCATTCCTCCATGATTGTTAAACCATAAAAAGCTGCATATGCTTAAAACTTCATTTGTTCCTTGACTAATGACAAAAACAGAATCATGAACAAATATTTTAATTGGGATAATCTCCGTCACCATCCCCTCCTACCTCTCACACACAGTCTTTATACACGTCAAACCGCCAATTTAAAAACTGCCTGCTGAGTTAGACCTACAAAACATTTATTAAAAGAAGAGAAAGAAAGAAAAAAAAGTATATTGTGTAGGAACCAGCAAAATCGGGTGGCCGCAGTAACAGGTGTCAGTGTCCGAAAAACTGTCAAACAATTATCAAACTCATCTCCTCATCTCCTCATCAAAGTTGAGAGACCAAAACTGGCCAGAGCTGAATCCTCCTCCCTCTCAGCTGGGTGTTGGGGCTTTTTTCACAGCGCAGGCTGTCCCCCACTCCCTGCTGTTGGACTCCTCCAGGCTGCGTTCTGTTGGCCTGCCGCGTTCTTTCACACCTCGGCCGCGTGTGAGGAGAGCTGTGTCTTCATCCCTCCATCTTTGCATCCTTCCATCCTCCAGTCCTCCTCCTGCCATGCCTTACACCCACCCCCAGCGGAGGCGCAGGAGGCTCGTTACCGTGGCAATTAGTGAAAAGCCCAAATTAGCCCTCTTGGCTGTCCACAGGTGACAAAGACACTTTGCATTTCTGCTAATTAGGAAACAGAACAACATGATTAAACTGGGGCCTATCAGGAGGAGAGTGGACAAACATGTTCCACAAATAGAAAGGAGTAATATTTTATTGCATCTCCTGCATGAAATGATTAAGACATCCCATTAGGCTTTTCATTTCTGGAGAGGATAGTGTTGGACTGAATATTATAATGGTTTACATTACAATGTTGATAGTGAATGTGTTAGTGTGTTTCTTACCTTCACATGGATGGTCTATCGACAGGTGCTCTGACCAAAGAGTGGATGAGCTGCTACCAGTGAAAGGTTAAATCCCTTTTGGTTTTTGCCTTTCTTGCACATTGTCTTTTTTTTCTGTCAGCACAAAATATGCATATGGCAGGACCTCGAGATGATTTCTCTAAGTACTCAAGGGGAAAGTACTTTGATATACTGCAGTTACAACATTCAACTAAGACAAAGAGTTTATAAGCAAACAGTGTGTTCAACAAACATGTGTTTGTGATGTTATGCTTATGTTAAATAAGGCTTTAAAAAGGCGACTACCTTTTACACATTTCCTGGTTCAGATCAGTGAGCACGTGTATGAAATGCAGTGTGAATAATATCTGTATCATCCCACTAAAACATTGCAATGCAGCAGTTCAGGCTTCTTTGTCTTGCAACAACATGCAATATCAGATGAATGTTGTTGTTCGAGTGACATTTATGTGGACGGATTTGGTATTAACAATCCTAGAGAGGCAGAAATTGTCCTGCTGGAAGGCCTAATCAGTGCTAAATCTTTCTGTGTATATCCAGCCATTGTTTATTACCCCACATTAGTAGTAATTAATGATTGCAAACTTGTAATATCAAACAGTCATTTACCAGGCTGATTTATTGCAAACTAAAATATGTGTAGAGATCTTAAACCTCTGCAAAGTGCCCTCCTTTCCACTAAATATTCTCATAAACAGAAAATAATATTTACTAGATTTTAAGTGTTTGTCTTCATTGTTTTTTTTGTCTCCTTTTGAGTTTGGTCAACGCGAGGAGGTCACAGCCTGTTCTCTGACCCGTACAATGCCAAATAGCTGAGGTAATGGTATCTGCTGATAGTAACCACGGCAACCCTGTCATGACCTCACCAGGGGTTGAACCTAAAGGTCATTTCTCATTGCTCTGGGGAAGAGTGCTCCAGCTATATTACCAGTGACAACGCTCAAATGTTGCAGCTGCAGAACAGTGAGCACTTTAAGCTGATTCAAAATGGCTGTCAGTGAATATCTCTCCGCTTGTGTCTGTTTCTCTAACAAAGTGAATATACTCGGGTTAAATTAGAATGGTTTTGTTTCATCCACGAATAACTGGCTCAGGTTCCTTTGAAAATGGCTCACATTGTCCATTGGCATTATTACTACTTATTAAAATGGTTTCCCGTGGTGGCACTACAGTTAGTGGGGGCTAAATGAGTTTCAGGTGCTTCCGTGGAGGATGGAGCAGACTGGAGAGAAATGAGATAACTTGCCTCTGCGCCTCGGGGGGGCAAACTGCACATTCTCCAGTTTCGTCCTCCTTTCTCTGCCTCTTATTCCTCCTTTCCCTCCGTGAGTCTCTGTCCTGCGCGTGCGGCGCCCGGTTAGCCCGCCGTCAGGCCCGGCCAGTCAGATGTTGCCCTGGGGTAAACAGAAACATCTGTCCCCTGCCCAGGCGTGACTGTCGCTGAGTGATAAATCCTGGGGTGGCCTGTGCCAGTGCCGTCCGGCGTGCCACCTGCAGCCCCCCCTCCCTTCTACACAATGGCGCTAGCCGCGCACACACACACACACTTCACCCTATTTGCTCTCGTTCGACTTCATCCTGACAGTGTGACAGAAGCAGGTGGTTCGCACCCTTTTTGCCCTCTGGCCTTCTATGCCTCCGTCTTTAGATGGCACATTTAATGCAGGGAGCGGGAAGAGGTTGTCGCCTCTAGCAAATACCAGCGCTGGGATCCCTCTAGGTCATTCTGCAATGGTCTCAGCGAACTCGAAAGCCAGTAGCGGTCGTTGACTTTAATCGGACATAAAGTCTGCCGATCAGATCGACTGAGTTTCACCCAGGTCAACGAAATAGTCACTGGGAAAAAAACAACATCACAAAGTGCTGGAGGTTTTTTGTAAAGATGTGATTTCAACTTCAATGGGGTTTTTTTTGTTGCTTATTTAAGGATTGTTATGCTGTAACACATCTGACCTTCTTGTAAATTCAACTGTCAGACAAAAGCCTGAACACATGCTGAGAGACTCTTTCTCCGTCTCGTCTTACTCTCTCTGCTACCACTTCCTCTCTCTGCTACCACCACTTTTACTGAAGTGACAGAGGCAGGTGGCCAACTTCCTGCCCTTTGACCTTCAACAGTTTCCCCCGCTGTAAGACGCCAGTGAGAACACACACATGCACGCATGCACACTCACACACACTGGCGGAGGAGGAGCTATAGGTTGGCCTGGGTGAACTGGGGCAGAGGTCTTGTAAAAGGCCCCCGGAGGGAAGCGGAGGTCCTTCAACTCGGGGACCGGAGTTATTTTAGCCGTGCCAAACCTGAGAGGCTGAACGATAATCCCTGCAGCGCCAATGCCAATATGCAAAGAAAGAGAAAGATATCTACACTGTAAAATGCAGCCCTGACCAACTAGAGATTGACAAAAAACTGAAAGGAATCAGTGTGAATAGTTGCTCACTCCTTGTGAACAGGGTATTAAACACAATGGGTTCTTTTATCATTTCAAGCAGTTTGCAAACTGAATTGCAGTACGTTTATCACATGAAGTACTAGGACAGTAACACTGCCTGCCAGCTTGATATAAATCTTTTTTTTTGTATTCCAGAGGAATTATTATAACACATAATATGATAATAACAAAAAAGTGTTATGAGCTATTCATTTGTCCACCCTTCTGCCCTTGGGTGCTTAATATTGCTTTTTTTCTTCACAATATCCCTGCATTTATCTAGCAATGCCTGTGATTAATTCTCTACAGCATTTGAAATAATATCAAATGAAGGGGCACTTCAACCCATGAAACGGTGGGTTCTTTTGAGCTGTACCGTGCAGGTCTGTGTGTATGATTTGCATGTTTTTATTATGCCTCTATGTGTGTGTAAGAAGACCCCCGCTGATTAATGTCACTTCGTACCGCAATGCCGCGTGCTGAACATGTTCTGATATCCGTAATATGTTACCAGTCTCAGCTTGATTTTATTGCCATGGTCTAATAGGATATTGCCACTATCACAATTTGGATTAACTTCCGTATCACTGCAGTTAAACCGAGAGAGATTTGCATGTGTCTGCAGACAAATGACAGAGAGAAGTGGGCATGTCTATCAGGGTGGGCCGCTATGGTCGATTAATGTCACATTCAGCACCTCCTTCATGAAGTGTTTTTTCAATCTACCACCACAATCATTTCCATTATGAACAGTTGCAGCTGCGGTCTTTTCCTCTCATTGATGTTTTTGTATTCCCTGTGTAAAGATAAGGCACTGCTGCGCATATTTCCTGTGGTTTTTTTTTGTGTTTTTTGTTGCCGAGTCT